TGCTGCAACAATGTTACGGTTCTAGCTAAGCTGTCAGAACATTAAGATCGATGATTGTATTAGTATTACTACAGAACGGATTTGGACGAAAAACACGTTCGTTGCATGAACTATAAATTTATAATGATGAACGATTAAGAATTAAGTTGTTTTTCACGCAATCGAGGTCTCACGCGTCTGATAGTACATTGTCGTCGTCGTTCGTCGTTTCAGCCGAAAGACGTCCACTGCTGGACAAAGGCCTCCCCCAAGGATTTCCACAAAGACCGGTCCTGCGCCGCTTGCATCCAGGTACTTCCCGCGACCTTCACCAGATCGTCGGTCCACCTAGTGGGAGGCCTGCCCACGCTACGTCTTCCAGCTCGTGGTCGCCACTCAAGAACTTTTCTGCCCCAGCGGCCATCAGCTCTTCGAGCTATGTGCCCCGCCCACTGCCACTTGATTTTAGCGATTCTGCGGGCTATGTCAGTCACTCTGGTTCTCCTACGGATTTCTGATTCGATCACGCAGGGAAACTCCGAGCATAGCACGCTCCATCGCTCTTTGGGTGACCTTGAGCCTTCTTATGAGGCCCATAGTAAGCGACCACGTCTCAGAGCCATACACCATCACTGGCAACACACACTGGTCAAATACTTTTGACTTGAGACACTGCGGTATTTCGGACGTGAGAATTTCGCGAAGCTTCCCGAACGCTGCCCAGCCGAGTTGGATTCGACGATTAACCTCTTTCTCGAAGTTGGACCTACCTAACTGGACTGTTTGTCCCAGGTATACATAATTGTCAACAACTTCGAGTGTAGTGTCTCCAACCTTCAGAGGAGTGGGTACAACACGGGCATTTACCCAAGAGCTAGACTGACCCGACACTACACCGAAGATATCCCGGACGTCAGCCTGTACGAGATTAGAATGGCTCTCAAACAGCTGAAAAACAACAAGGCACCGGGTGATGATGGAATCACGGCTGAGCTTCTGAAAGCAGGCGGAACGCCGGTACTAAAGGCTCTTCAGAGGCTGTTCGATTCCGTCATACTTGAGGGAAAAACGCCTACGGCATGGCACAGAAGTGTGGTGATACTTTTTTTCAAAAAAGGCGACAAAACCTTGTTGAAAAATTATAGACCCATCTCACTTCTGAGCCATGTCTACAAGCTCTTTTCGAGAGTCATTACGAATCGTCTCGCTCGCAGGCTCGACGACTTCCAGCCTCCCGAACAAGCCGGTTTCCGAAAAGGCTTTAGTACCATAGACCACATACATACGCTACGGCAGATTATACAGAAGACCGAGGAGTATAATCAGCCACTTTGTCTGGCGTTTGTGGACTATGATAGTACATTGATGATAAACAAAATAATAAAATATAGAGCAGCTATATTTTTACTTTTAATTCGCGCATCCCAAACACTAGTTGATAAAAAACGATGAGTCCAATCAAATCGTTTAACCGAGACAATAAATCGATTATAAACTCGCGTGTTCTGCAATTATTAATCGGTGTTACACTTACGAGTACGTATCAATATCGGGACCGCGGTTTGTAGACCGTGAGAAAGAATTTACAATGAATCAGCGACATTGAAATGCCTTTAATACGCTCGCGTGACTCATTCCACTCGAAATATTGTTCAATTAAATCAAAACTGTACACTGTTATGCGGCGCGTTTTATAACGGCGCGGCGTCGTTAAAATGTAACGTTTTTCGTATAATAAGTTTATTTGGTGAGATCCGTGTTTGAAGATGAATGACGTTCTGAATGATTTCTGCCTGCAATCCGTTCGGTGCCAATGATTGCAACCACAGGCAGTTAGCGCAACTAATTTCTATGTATATTGTAGGGCATTTTTAAATGCGGCAATATTATAGGCTGTAGATGCAATTATAGGCTGTAGATGCAATAGACTACTATTTCATGAAAAGGGGAGATACATTTGATACATCAATTCTACCGATCCTAAACAGACACATTATTTTTTTTATTATTTTCCACATGCATTGCACAAAATGAATGCCATTTTTTAACAGAACTGTGCATTTGTTTGTCCCAGGTGGGAGACAACGGCGCCGGCAAGACGACGCTTCTCAAGATAATAATGGGCATCCTGTCGCCCACTTGTGGGATTCGCAACGTGCACCGTGGCCTCAAGTTCGGCTACTTCTCGCAGCATCACGTGGACCAGCTCGAGATGAACGTCAACTCTGTGGAGCTACTGCAAAGGAGCTATCCAGGTAAAATTTAAAAAAAAAATGTTTATGCCTCAGCTACAACTTTTTGTTTCGACAAAGTCCTAGAGAAGCTGCCATGCCAACGTGCAATCTCGCTTATTGTAACAGCGTTCAAAATGTAACGAAATAACTTTATTTATTAAAAACATGAAAAGACAACAACAGGAAGTATCATACACTCCAGATTGAAACGGCATATAGTGTCCCTACACTTACAGTGAGATTTGGTGATACCAGATGAAAGAGATTCATAGGAATTCCTTCTGTTTAAAAGACAAGGATCAAGATACATCATCTGAATGGCTTATTGTGTTGACACAGACTGCCAAGTTGCAGATCTCATTAAAAAAAATTATAAACATTCAGTGCACCTACCATGAGTTTACGTTAGGTGTGCTCGCTAGCGAGTACGTCAAAAATCTCTATGAAGATTTTGTTTCTTGAAAGTAGCCGCTAGGGGCGCTGCACAATATGTCATACAATTAATGTCATTTTTTTACGTAGTCGCTAGCGAGCACACCTAACGTAAACTCATGGTAAGCACACTGGTCTGTGTTTGCAATTTAGGTTTAGGCTACAACTATTAGGTACAAGTTCTTCCTTACCTTTTTCAACTTAGAGTAGAAACTTACATTCCTATTTCCAGGCAAAACAATCGAAGAATATCGGCGGCAACTAGGCAGTTTCGGTGTGAGCGGCGATCTGGCCCTCCAGACTATCGCCAGCCTCTCAGGAGGCCAGAAGTCCCGGGTTGCCTTCGCCAGGATGTGTATGGGCAACCCCAACTTCTTGGTACTCGACGAGCCGACCAACCACTTGGATATTGAGACCATTGAGGCGTTGGGGAAGGCGATTAATAAGTATACGGTGAGTTGTTTTGGATGTCGTTGTTGCATGTGACGTAGAATAGTCAAAATAACGATTACTGGTATATGAGTCGTGAACGGTAGCTGAGATATACTTACTTCTGTCAAAATGTGACCCATGCATAAGATTTAATATGACAAAGAGAACTTTTATCTACAGTGGCGTCAACCTGAATTTTTATATTGCGAATTTGAAGCTTCTTCCAGTATCCGTACAATATTTTAGTTAGAAAAAGATATTTTACGGCCTTCAGACATGAAAAAAAGGTTCAAAACACGATGGCAGTATGGCAAATGCATTTAGTATTTAATTCCAAAAACACCTGTTGGTCTATCTAAGCAGCCATCTCGCGCGTTAAAGATATTCATTACCAAACAATCCGCAGGGTGGAGTGATTCTCGTGTCTCACGACGAGCGGCTCATCCGCATGGTGTGCAAGGAGCTATGGATCTGCGGAAACGGCTCCGTCACCAGCATAGAAGGCGGCTTCGACGAGTACCGCAAGATCGTCGAGCGGGAACTACTGGACGCGCAGAACAAATAGGCAATACACATCGCATATTGATGAGAACACTGTCACTAGGCAAAATTGTATAACAGATATCAGACTACATTTTGTTCAAAAGAGCGTCTTTAACAATATTGTACAGCAACAGAACATCAGGCTATGCATTTACGTTCCAAAATAACATCTATTTCATCCGTTGTCCTAGGTAAGCGACGGAACGTGATATGAATCGACGCGCCGCGACGTAATGCGACCAATACTTCTCGTGACTTGTTTCATACGCATGTAGCGTCCGTGTGCAATCATTAACCTAGCACCCTCTAAAAAAATCTTTCTTTCTTTCTCTAGTGTGCCAGTAAGGCCAGTGGCATACGCACACCCTGCGTAGGTAAAATTTTCTCTGCATTAATGCGCCTTTGTTCTATACAATGACTACTTGACGTTTTTGCATTGCGTCGTGTTGTCGCGTTTGTCGTTCCCCTAAGAAAACGGAACAATGACAAGATGATGAGAGTAGCTTAATGTGCTGTCGACTGTACTTATTTACTTATTCCAGTAAGAGCGTATTACGTCCCCGTGCTTGAAAGATGACACTATTATCCAAAACAAATAATTTCAGTGACAGTCTTCTTATCAATGTGGGACATGATAACCATTAATATTATTATGTATAAAGTAATACTAAATTATATTGTTGTAATATATAAATGCGGCGTTTTATTAGTTCTGTTTGGGAGTCGTCGATTCGGTTTTTGAATGTAATGCGAATAGGAAATACTTACACGATTTAGAGTAAATTTTTTGACAAAAAAAGCATACGTAGGAGAAAATTTTATGAGAATTCAAAAACATATTGGTGACATTCAAAAATCGTCTCTTTGACCAGTTACGCAACTAGATTGACCGTCTGGGTAGTCGGGATTGTGGGTTCGAATCCCGACGGGTGCAATGCGATGAGCTCGAACGTTAAATAACGTTAGATCCGAAGTCGAGGACATTTTAGCATTTATATGAATTTATTTATTTATGTTTATGTGTTATCTAGCCGTCATATTAGCTTTATTTATCTTGGGGCTAGGTTATAAGTGTGATAGTTGGATCAATTTATGAAAACGTCTCGCTGTCGTATCTGAAATTGATTTCAACGTAGCATAATGCATTTTAGTAGGACTGTATTTATCATGACCAAACAATTAACTGTGTATCGACCTCTCTTATTAATACTAGTTTCTTATTGTATTCGTAATCAAAATAAACTTCAAAACAATAGTATCGATATTTATTGCTTTCAATTTGTAATTTTCTAAGCCAATAAACAAAATCATTTCGAAATCAGGAAATGAAAGACTGTTATTGATGCAAATTTTTATTTATACCTTCAACCTTTCTCTGTCTGCATTAAATAATTTTAGCATACAATTCCATACAAAACCTTGAGTACTCGCAAATATCCATGGCAATTTAAAAAAATATAATTAACTTAAAAAATGATATTTACAAATTAAAATTCAAAATACATAATATACAATTATAATAGTGACTAAATAATGACAGAACGAAGTTAATTAATAAAATCATTCAGTTGTTGCCAAATCAAGCTATTGCAGTACTCAACTGATGCCTTCTGGGACATACAATGTTCATAAATGCAATCTCTATTGTTATTGAGAAATGTGTACTGTAATCGGAGGGAAGTGTGAAATAATTAAGTTTGTATTACGGATTGTCGTTCGTTGATTTGATACATAGATAATATGTATTGTATTATGCGGTATACAATAACTATACCTGCTAATATTATGGCAATTTATTATTCTGAATAATATAGGTACAAATTAAAAGTATCGCTAGCAGATCACAAATACATACTAATCTAAAGTACTTATGTCCAGTTGGCAAAGACAAATGGCGTTTGAATCACGTCTCTTGCTGTCTACAAGAGGGGTCGATTTAATAAAATAATTTATTGATGCTTCTTGCGCCTCGTTTTAGTTTTATCGGCGTTTCTTAACACTTCAGCGTAAGAAAGCTCTAGTTTCCTCAGTTTGTGGATCTCCTGGGACGCAGTGCTCTGCTTTATATCCCAGGAATCGGTTTCTGCGTTCCACCCTTGGTATATTTTTCCGGTCCGGCCGCTCGCACTGGGTGTGGGAGAGTTCATATTCCTGTTGTAAAATTGCATCGTGGATCCGTTCCACTCGCTCTCTGCTGCCCTAACAAGGGGGCTCGCTTCGATGGGTCTGTAGTCCCTTCGCTTCTTGTTCGAGGACTTCTGGTAGGTGATCTTAGGCGGCGACGGGAACACAGGGGAGTCGGCGCCCTGGCGGTCCTGGCTGTGCTTGCGGTTGCGATGCCTGGACTTCTTTCTAGTGGCCGCGATATACTCCAGCGGCTGTCGCACCAGCGGTGTAAGAACGCGCTCCTTATCCTTATCCGATTCTTTGTCCTTATCCTCCTGTTTTTCCTTCTTGGACTCCTCTTTCGGTTTCTCGGTTTGGGAAACTTTGGGCGCGACCTTTTCCACTGGTTTGTTCTCCTTGTTGTACTTTTTGCTTTCGACCGCCTGTTTCTTGACGGGCTCGGGAGCCGGGGTCTCTTTCACTTCCTTCTCCATCAACGTGGGGGTCTCCGGGGCCGTGATATCGGACACTGGAATCGACTGTTCAGACATCACAGACGAAAATACGCTCTGGGTGTCATCGGTGAAGTTGCCGGGGGCTTCTTCCGTAGCGGGGGTGACAGGTGGGACTTTGCCCGCTGTGGTGTCGTCAAGAAGGGGCAACTGTTCCCCTTCGTCCTTGTTCTCGGCCGCCTTCTTGAGGATCGTGAAGATCTCCTTGAATAATTCGCGGTATTCGGGCCTGTTACGGAAGCGGCTGTCCATCGGGCTGACGTCATCGTAGATGCTGAAGCGGTAGTCCTCGCCGTCAGCGATGGTGCAGAGGAAGGAGCCGGGCCGCTCGCGTTCGGTCTGCGTGGCCTTGTTGCTGGTCTCGTCGGAGAAGCCAGAGCTGGAGGTCTCCGCTTCGGAGAAGTCTGGGGTTTGTATGATCTTCTTCCGCGAGGTGGGTTCGGTCTTCTTCTGCTGAGTGTCCTTCTGGGCTTCTTCCCCGTGGCCGCTTTCTTCGTCGGTGTCCTTTACGCTGAACTGGGAGAAGTCGCCCGAGGTCTGGAGCTCGTCTTGGAGGGACAACGGCCCGGAGGGGTTCTGCGCTGTCTGCTTGTTCTTCCTTATATTCTTCACCTGCGACAGCTGGACTTCCAGCAGAGCTTCGTACTTCTGCACCAGCTCTCTGTAAGGGTTATCGTGGCCGTCTTCTTTGTTTGCCCATATACCCTGGAGTAGTTTCTCCTTAGCATTCTGTAAAGTATTTAATGAAAATATTAAAATCATGTAAAGGTTGATGCATGCGTGATTCTTTAATAATGTATGTGAAGTTAAATGCAGTGATTCGTAAGAATGTCATGTCTATGGATAAATATTAAAGAAACGATTTGTGGATGGATTATTCTGGGCGAATCAAGTGTACGACAATTTATTAAATACATTAAATGGATTTAAATAACTTTTGAAAGAATGGTAGTTAACGTTGTAGTAATATTAGTCAAAATACACCCATTACTCCACTGTACATAAATTACGATATTATTATGATATAATACACACAAGATAATAAACTTATTATGAATATAAATAATACATCGGATCACATACATACGATTATTCTGAGTTAGTCACGAATCTGTTAGTAACTTCAATAATTATTTATGTTATATTTTATACCAGAACCGATAATACATGCTATTATGAATGATATGATTGGTCTTACACCAATATATAGGATAGATATCTGAATGAACCGGTGACCGCCACCAGTGACTCAGCGTGCCTGAACGCGATAACAAAACGTGGCGTAATGGACGTACCTTCGACTACATTCGATATATCCAAAGAAAACTACTGCAAATGCGCTTCATAATGCATATGCAAAGCATGATGATCAACATCAGGGGCAGTTGTAAAAGCATTGTCGCCTAGAAACGAGTGAAACATACCCATGAGATTTGAACAAATGTTTGCCTTTTCTTTCAATTATTGGCCATTCAAATTGTCACTTATGACTTGTGGGATTGTACTGAGATCATCAACGTAAATACAAAGATTAGTTCGGCAGGATTAGTATGTTAATCATGTTGCAAATATTGCGGAGCTGTGAGTTAATGCAGTTAATTTATCTTACAAAGTGAGAAGTTAGAAGAACAGACAGATGTACATAAGTAGAAAGGTAAGCTATAGGGGGCAATAGTAAGGTTGGGCAATACTAACGTCGAATTTGACAAGTTTGTTGGAGACGAGATCCTCGCGAGGACTGTGTTGCCCTGAGGGCGTGAGGATGAGGGAACTGATGGCACTCCGGTCGTCGTCGTCACCATCTAGCATCGAGGACATGTCATCGCCCCGCTCGACGCCCCTCAGACATCTGATGCAAAGTTGACCTTGTCTGGAAAGTAGAAAACATTCATGTAATTTTCCAATAATTAATCGAATTATTGTTAATTAACTATTATAATGAGTATTAGGTGTTATACGAAAAGTTCATGCAATTGTTTTCAAATTAATCTAATTAGGATTTAATTCTCGATCCGTTAAAGCGACTTCATTTCGATGATTGATTTCTATGATTAACACGGTAAGAATATAAATTGTTGAAAGTGCTCTGGCACGGGCAATTAAAATATTTATAGGATTTGTTGTGGGACGTCCACCTACAAGGTGGACCGACGACATCGTAAAGGTAGCAGGGAAGCGCTGGATGCAGGCCGCTACCAATCGATCAACGTGGAAAGCATTACGGGAGGCCTATGTTCAGCAGTGGACGTCCTATGGCTGACATGATGATGATGATAGGATTTGTGCAAAATTGTGATGTCACAGAAATATGGAAAAATTCCGGAAACAGTTCTTCAGCTTGGGACAGAGAGAGAAAGAGATGAAAAGAAAACCAATCGTTGAATTGTTATAGATTTGCTAGAGGTATATCACAGCCTCTATGACATAGGTACTACTGTATGAACAAGTTAGTTGGTCTAACTCACCTAACTTCTTCAAGGATCGAGAATTCCTCATGCATCGACTTGGGCTCATCCTCCCTCTGGTGCCAGTTCCTCAGCTGGTCCGTGAGTCTGTTGTTCTCCTGGACCATGGAAGCCAGCTGCTCCTCAAGCTCCGTGACCCTCCTCTGCTCTTGTGCGAACGCGACTTTGCTTTCTCGCAGCTCATCGCTTAGCCTTAACAAGTCCTCATCCTCTTTCGTCAGTTCTGGGATAGGTGCCACAGCCTTTAACGGCGTACTGCTCACTTCTAGCTTCTTTGAATTGGGCGTAGCCGGTTCAGGCTTTGTTTCTTTCTCTTTGGGTTTCTCGCTTTCAGGTTTGCGCTCGGCTCGCCGCCTGGCGATTTCTAACTGAGCGTTCAGGTCGTCGACAGACTTTTGTAGCTCCTCGCATTTGCCCTCCAACGTTTCGATGTTGGCGCACAATCTGGGAAATAGAAAGGACATAATTATAATTTACACAATGATTAATGGTTACATAGCTTCCATCGGTAATTTCGGTGAAAGTAATGAACGTTCTGGGTATTAAAGCCATAGAACACTACGTTTTAAGTTTTCCCAAGCGGCCTAATTATATCGGCCAAAAGTGTACACAATGGAGGTTCATTTGTGGAATAATTTAGCCGCTTTATGAGAAATGTGGCTGAACAATGCACGGGAAGTGAAAAACGTGGACGGACTGCGGTGCGAGTAGTGGTAAAAACTTGATGAGATAGTAACACTGACATTCCTCGGTTCCTACCTTTTAAGCGAGGTTTAGATTGCATTTTTTGCTCATTGTCACGTACTTAAGTATAATGATACCATATTTAATGCATGCATAGTGCAGGTTGTATGTATGTACTACGAGTATTGTAGCTTCTTTAGATTTGTTTTTTTTGCTCATTTGTCAGCAATTCAGATCCTCAAACTTATCGCGTTACTTTGAATCTTACTTACTGCCTTGATTTGAAATTCAAAAATAAATAAAAAATTAACTTGCTGACGCTAAGTTACCTAGTTAAAAGTTGTTGAAAAAACTCTTCTTTTAATTTTTCTTCACATCAGATGCGCACTTCCAATAACTAAACCCCAGTTTTGAGTTTTTTAGTACACATACAGATACAAATTGTAGAGTAAAAGACTCAGTTTTGACTCTTTCATGCGTTTGCGCGTTTCAGTTGTTTATTTAAAATTTAGTTTGAGAAGCGACTCTAATCGCTATGAAATTATGATTGAACGGTTTCAGCCAGTATTATAAGTAGCTCAGTTGGAAGAGCATTCGCCCAGCGAAAGGTCGTGGGTTCGATTCCCGCCTTAGGCAGTTCGATTTTTCAAGTTGTTTATTTAAAAAACAAGGATACATAATTAATTATGTTTTAATGGTAAACTCACGTTTTAATATGCTTCTTGTCTCCTGCATGGTCGACGGCGAGCCGGTGGTTCGCGCGCTCCAAGTCCTGGATGCTGACCTCCAGCTGTTCGTAGATCCTCAGTCTTGAGTCATTCACCTCCCGCAGTGCGACTGTTTGTTTCGTTAAGTACTGCAATGAGATACAACAGTTTTGTTAAGAATAGTGCCAGTTTCAGCGGTTCCTGAAATAGTTTCAGTTGAAGGTAGAGTCACGATGTAACGTACGAGTAAACGGTTTTTAAATGGTGACTTTACCTGCACTACAAATATTTCTAAACATCAATGAAATCTTCTACAGTGATATAATATGAAGTAGGTATTATGAAGTTTAGCAGCAAGTGGAGAAATAGAGCCCAAATATACCTAATGCTTTGTGAGTTGTTTAAAATCACTATTTATTTAAGAGTTATGATCACCAGCAATGTATTAAATAATCTGAATAGATTTTTTCAACCTCGAATAAAGCTTTCAATGAAGATCTTAATACAAATTTCACTGGACGTCATTTAATGTAGATTGCGACCTACGACTCTACTTACCTTATAACTGCCCTTTAGATGTGTTTTATACGTCTTAAAAGGGCTATTCATTCACGGTTTTCCATGTTACAAGTTATTGCTCTTTTGTTTTGCTTTTATGAGCGTTTATTACGTGGGTAAGGCAATAAACTGTACATGATGCTCTTTAATTAGTTTAACCAAGTTAAACTATTGCGTCGACTATGTTAATTGGTGCGGAAGTCGTAATAGGTACCTTAGATGGAGGGCATAATCCCTAATTGAGCATGCTCGAAGAAATGATGTGAAGATAAATTTAAATTATAAACATCATCAGTTATTTTGGTCTCCATTGCAGAAAACATGACCCTCTAAAATACTCATGAAAAACTCTCATAAAACTAATGTAGCTTTGTAAGTAGGCTTTTAAAAAGTACTTTTACACGTCCCCGTATTAACCCTGCCACTGCTTCGGGACAATAAAGGGGGCATCTAATATTGATAAAGGGTCGTGTTTTCTACCTTTGAAGGGGTAAGTAGGTACTACTTATAGGCAAATGGAGAATTAAGCCTACACATGGACAGTTGAGTCAAATATCTTACTTCGATCTCCTGTGCTTGATCCTCGATGACATTTTGATGCTGACGTAGGGCTGTCTCGAGTTCTTTATTTCGTTCCAACAACGTTTTTCCGAGTTCTGCTGCTAACTGCAAATCTGTGAACAATAAAACGGCATTGTTATTGAAAGAAAACATCCTTTTCTCCGAAGCATTACATCAAAAGACATTTAAGAAATTTTAAATTAAAATAGCAAAGCTTTTAAAGAAGCTCTACGGTCAGATCGTCTTATGTTTTCGCAGTTCAATTCTATTGTGTAGGTACTGATTCATAACGGTAGGTCGTAAATATTCATGCGACAAAGTTATTATTATGACGTCCACGTAACAACCTCGAGCCGTTACCAGAAGACGAGGTAAAAGCGCTGACGTGACAGAGATAGAACAAAAACTGGGTAATTACTCGAAATACCACCGCTTGAGAGTTCCGACGTTGCAACAGCCATGGACAGTAATTGACCACTAGCTGGCGCAACGCTATGCCTCGGACTAAGACAATACACGAGCTTTGATATATCTCGACAGCACGCGACACATTGCTAGCTCAACACTGCTCCATCAACTTCTCCATCGATCTCGAGGAGCATTGCATCAGCAACACACCGATTGCCCCGTGAAAGGCACACAGACCACTAACCTTGCCGACAGAACAAAACGTCAAAATTATTTATTGTAATATTGAGGTCAATGAATGAACCAACGTATGCCGTACTACAGGCGTTTTATAAGATGAAAGTTCCGTCTATTAAAGTGAAATTGCGACCATAATGAACGGAGAGTTATAGGAAAGTGCAAGACTGTAATCAATCGAAAAGTGCGTTACTATAAAAGTAATGCAAATTCATTCAAACCGTGGACAATATCCGCAGCCATTGTTAAATATTTGTTGCTGCTGCGTAATTATACTGATTGCAAGAAACGTGTTATTTGTAACGAGATGAATTGTAACAGAAGATGTTACTGGGGAAATATTTCTCGCTCCAAAAAACAGGCTTCACTCAATGTTTTGCGGTTGTGTGTTACAATTAATTTATTGTTTCAGTTGCATTGTAAATACCTCGACATTGAGGCGCATTGGAAATTACAGACATATTATTAAAAGCATCCTTGCCATCTGAGGTCGCAGTTGTGCATGTTTGTAGGACTCAAATATTTGTTTTAAATAATATTTTATGAGCACATAAAGGTATTATTACACAAGGTCGTGTATGTATTGCTGCAATTAGCTATGAAGCTATGAAATAATATTACTTATTATTGATTTGATTTTTTTTACAACTAATTTAACAATTAGGTAGTTATGCAAAGAAATTAACAAAAAATGTCGTATTAAGTATATGAATGATATTAACACGTTCAAAATTGCGTGATTTGCTGTCATAAAACATAACTGATTCTCATATAAAAAGCTGCTTGATGAAGTTAAAAAATATTTAAATTGGTTATGCGCCAGTGAAGACAGCACTAGTTTACGAGTATTATGTATTCTGTATCGATAAAAATCGTAACTGGACGTGTTAATTAAGACTTGTATATTATGAAAAAAAAAAACACAACCTGTCTGGTATCGGCTAAACGGGACACATTAGAATACAATTTTTTTGATAGCATATCAATTAGGTCACCGACTCTTGAAACAAAGTTTTGAACTTCGTTAGCAGTTTACAAATAACAATTAAGCTTTTCGTAATGGTTAACTTATCTTTTTATTCAGGTAACAATTTTCACGAATTTTAAAAATTTTCTTCAGTCGGCAGTTTTGTTTAATCTAAGTTTATGTTTGACAAGCTCTACCTATGATGTATTAGCTACAACAATGCGTCCTAAATACCAATTACTTGGTACCGACTTGAGAAAAGCAGCTACGGACGCGTAATACTTTCTCGCACCATTATTTCAGTACCTCTAGTACGAAAAACTTTCGAGTTCGTTTCGTTGCGTATTCAAAGTGTCATCGAAAAATTTTGTATGAAAAATTAAACAGCGCCCCCTAGGGCGGCTATAATATAGGGGGCGCTGTTTAATTTTTCATACAAAATTTTTCGATGACACTTTGAATACGCAACGAAACGAACTCGAAAGTTTTTCGTACTAGAGGTACAGATCACTTACTGATTTGATGACTCGAACTTAGTAAATCATTACAATGAGAGAGGTAATAAACAATTTAAGGGTTATTATGTACGAAACTAGGAGGCCTTGACTGCCAATGGTTGCCTGGACAAAGTTCGCGTATCAATTTTTGCACAGCATTACTAAACTCGTTTCTGACTATTTTATGGCATATGGTTGACAAAACTGTCATTGTAGGCTCTAAAATATATCTATTTAACCAATTCTTTAGTAACTTCGTTCTTATCATCTGCTGTACCTCTAGCATGAACAACTTTCGTCTTCGAATCGTTTACGTATTCGACAAAATTCGATACTCAATCTTCGAATTAAACGATAACGTGACAATTTTGATTCTCTAAATGCCTAAGTTTCGTGCAACCATTTCTCATACTAAGTTCACTTTACGACACGTTCACAAGGGCGCTGTTGTAGTTTTCGTACTAAATCTTTTGATGGCGATTCGAATAACGCAAACGATTCCAACTCGGAAAGTTTTTCGTGCTAGGCGTACTGTAATTAATAAGCATTTCGAGAAATAATTCCTACCCTAGTGTAGGTGTCTTAATGGTGCAGAAACAATAAATAGATCCACATCAAATTTCCAGCTAGAAAATATGGAATCTGTACTCAACAAAGTTATACTTAATAATGACCAATAATAACAGTAACAAGAAGCATAGTTTCTAACTTTATTAATTTAGTAATTGACTGATCTTGCTCTCAATGTAAAGACTTGGTACGCCGTTGCAGCCCGTTTATACACAGAAAATATTTCTGTTTGTGTAGTAGCTTTGGGGACTTTTATCAGCTAATCAGTACCATCTGTAAGGATTCGAATGGCTGATTGTCGAGGCATAGTCCCCTTGAGCGTTTTTTCTATCGTGTGGGTGTGTGGAATACAACTACGCACAGTCCTGATGGCGCCACTGATAATGACGGCTGTTCAATAATATCAATATATTATAATATGTAGTTTAAAAAAACAGGAAACATTAAATCAAATGAAAATTTAAAAATTTGTCTACCTGAGATCAAACTCTGGACATTCGCATCGAAAGAGTTCAAAACTAATCACTAAACTAAACTAAATCTAGACTAACGTATTTTCCATTCCTACGAGTATATTACTCAACAATACGACATTCTATGAAGTTTATTCACCGAGTAATTAAAAAGCTAGACAATAATATGTTTTATTGTATAGCTAAGTATAATTTTACTGCCTTTAATTATAATCTAAGATTACTGGTTCTGGAATAACGTCGTGTTTGTTCACATACCGTACATTTACATGACAACAAAAAAAAAAGATTAAATGGAATGGAAACAAAGAGTAAAATAAATGTTAGTTTGTATGATACCAATATAAAAATATTGAATTTAATTTCATTTTCTATCAGCTAAATGTCAGACGAGAAAGTGCGTTTCCAATTATGTAGTACTAACTAATATACAATTGTTACAACTGTAGAAAACTGTCCTTTGTATAGTAGGTACAGACAGTGTACAACTTTATACATGTGTACAAAATGGCACTTATTCCAGCTACATAAGATATCGCAATTGTAAGCTTGATGTGCTGCGTCTGTACATAGAGACAGACAATGTGAGGTCTAAGTTCAAGTGTAGACTGAAACCTCGACGCAGAATAATTGCGTTTAAGTCGTCAGTAATAATGTTTATCCAAGGTCAAAGCATAATATTATTTATAATTTTCCACGGTTATTTTCTACGGAAACAAAAATATAATTCATGCGTTAAATTCAAGTAATGTAATTTATTTTCAGGAACTAAGTTTCATAGTTTACTTACACTAAGTACCTAACTAGTAGGAGGTACATACTCGTAGTTACTACATACTGTGCATGTAACTTATGAGTACATAGTATAGCAAAAATAAATAAGAAAAACACACCAAAACATGACACAGAGTTGATAATTTAATGTAATACCTTTGTAGAGTGTAGAGTTTGCGATTTCTTATAAAAATACAATAACCTAAGATATTTATGTTCTGTTATGATACATATTTATTATCAGCAGGAGGAAAACAATTAAACAATAGTAGGCCATTAACGATATCTTGTCAAGTACTTGGAAGTAAAGCAGATAGGTAACTAGGCACTTGACCGGTAAATAATACGAGTTCACCTCGACGTGCGACTCCAAAGTTCATTCTTATTTAAATAAATTACCCAAGTATGTATTGTCTGGGAGTAAATAACAAAAGTAAGTGAATACTGATGTGTCATGCATGCAACAATGGTACATAAGTAACGAGAATAACGCCCGTATTCACAATTGTTACTATGAGGTCTCACAGTGCGCGTGGACGCACAGGGTGATACAAGAACCAATCACAGAGCTCTCTTCAACGCTGTGCGTTCGACTTGCTGCTTCACTTAAACAAGTAAGGTTGGTTTGGGCGATATGATTAAGTGTAGCCTACTATATCGCAAAATATTCTCGTAGAAGTTCAAGCAATTTTAAAGGTACACAATACACACATTGTTATATTATACGATATCATGCAAATCTCGTAAGATGAAAAGTGACATAAAATGCTTAGCTACGTTTCCTAAGATGATTTCGAGAAAAATTTTCCCAAACGCCATCATTATTTTTTCCATCATTAGCAATTGCCTCTTGAACACGCATGAAAACAAAATTTGATTTGATTTTAATTAATGGGTAGTTATCATTCTCTACGGGTGATGAGTATTTGTAAAATCATCAATCTTAATCCATATAATTGGTCTCTATAAAAACACAGTGACTTTTATACAACGATGTGTTGCAAAAGTTTTACATACTTACATGAGTTCTCTGTGCGATGACACAACAGTTCAGTTAAACTGCAGTTAGTGAATCAGGAAATTGAGAAACATGGTGTGTGATAATACGATTGGTGTCGTTACACCTAAGTATACGATTGCAATATCGTGGATTAGCTTTTGCCCGCGGCTCTACATGCGTGAAATTT